ATCACCGTAGTCTTCCTCCTCTTTTCAAATATGCTTTTTCTTTTCTTTTCTTTCTTTTTTCTTTCTTTCTTTTTTCTTTCTTTCTTTTTTCTTTCTTTTGTCACATTTTTACTTCCCCCATTTCAATTAGCATTTTCTTTCTTTTCTTTACATTTTTCATCTTGCTTCTGTCCTCTTTTTGTTCTGATTCTTTTATCCTTCACCCCCACCTTCTCTAGACTTCAGTGCTGTCACAATTTAATGACAATATTTAAGTTTTTGATATTCAATATAATTACAATATATCTATCCATTTTTATGCTATCCAAAAATAATCTTTGACTTAAATATAATTTAAGGCAAATAAATTAGTTTGTTTTGTCAAGATTAAAATAACAACACATATTTTTCTTTCCTGCTGTTTTGCAGGTGTGGTTTTTATCAATGTCAATCTTCTTTTCCATAATTCTTCCTTTCTGTCATTCTTTCTGATCAAATTATTTGAATTTTTTCTTTCTTTGTTTATTATTTTGACGTCACTTTCTTTTCCAATTTCATTTTCTTTCTTCTTAATAACGGTTCTTTGTTTTCACCATATTGATGTTCCTTCTTTTCAATTTAAGACGTCCCGATCTTTCATTTTAATTTATAACAGTTCCTTTTATTTTCTTTCCAATTTAATTCGATAACAGTGATGGTAATTCGGCGTGCATTAACCGAGCAGCCAGTGCCACTGCAGGCCGAAATTTATAAAGTCTTTCTCTTAATAGAATTTTTTTCAGGAAAAATAGGTTTTTCAAATCCATTACCAGCTATCAACCTTTCAAAATTGATGAGGGTTTCCATCGCAACTGATGTAATGGCTTTCTTCAAAATAACCGCGAGTTAGAGAGAGTATCAAAGGAAAAGAAGACTGGATAGAGGAAACAAAGAAGAGGTTTATTATATACTCATAATTATGAAGGCCATACTTAGAGAGAGTATCGAAGGAACGGAATACGAGATAGAGTCAACAAAGAAGAAGAGAGAAAAAGAAGAATTTATGAAAACGAGCAGGACGTATTCCGACTCCCATTCTACAACATTAACCTTTTGTTTGAAGCAATGTAGAATATCAACAACTTTATTGCGTCATTACTTTCTCTGCAAGGTAAATGTGATATTCATTTTGGTTGTTGCTACTGTTGGAATTCCTCAAATATTTTCGTTATATCAATCGCTTAAAGCAGTCTCCATATTTAGGGTTTAGTGTCATGTTTGACATCCCACTAAAAGGTCTCAATCTGATGAGGCTATTTAAGATTATACCTTGTTTTTATGTTAACGATTTCACTTTAGCTCACCTTATTCTATATTTAATTTCTTTGTCTCCTATATTAAATTTTTATAACTGATCCATGTGTTTGGTTTGGTTTGTTTTTTGTTTTACGTCGTATCAACTTCAATGGGTTATTTAATGTCCACAAGATTTTTATTGCTGGTAATATGTTTTCCAAAAACTTATAGCTGGTAATATGATTTTTTTTCAAAAATGTATTGCTGGTAATATTTTTTCTTTAAAAATGTATTGCTGGTAATAATGTATTGCTGGTAATAATTATTTACAGACATATATTGCTGGTAACATTTTTTCTTTAAAAATGTATTGCTGGTAATAATGTATTGCTGGTAATGATTATTTACAAAAAATATATTGCTGGTAATATTTTTTCTTTAAAAATGTATTGCTGGTAATAACTATTTACAAAAATATATTGCTGGTAATATTTTTTCTTTAAAAATGTATTTCTGGTAATAATGTATTGCTGGTAATAATTATTTACAGAAATATATTGCTGGTAATATTTTTTCTTTAAAAATGTATTGCTGGTAATAATGTATTGCTGGTAATATTTTTTCTTTAAAAATGTATTGCTGGTAATAAGGTATTGCTGGTAATATTTTTTTTTAAAAATGTATTGCTGGTAAAATGTATTGCTGGTCATGTATTTTTTAAAATATATTGTTGGTAATAATTTTTTTTAAAAATATTGGTTGGTAATAATTTTTAAAAAATATATTGTTGGTAATATTTTTTAAAGCCAAATGTATTGCTGGTAATAATGTATTGTTGGTAATAATTATTTACAAAATATATTGCTGGTAATATTTTTTCAATAAAAATGTATTGTTGGTAATAATGTATTGCTGGTAATAATTATTTACGACGTCGCAAGCCTATTGCTGTTCCTAATATTTTTTCAGATGAACCAAAACATGGGAAAGAGAGAGTACATATGCGGAGAGTCATCTGACAGATGAATTCCAACAACCTTTCTTAATATTTGAATTGTCTCTGCGTCCTTGTAGGCGTCGAATTATTTTCCACTTAGCAAACGAAGATAGGACGTCGCAAGCCTTTTAGTTATACACATGGAGAGTATTCAGATGAACTATTTTCAACTATCAGATGGGAAAGAGAGTACATATGCGGAGGAGATGCATATACGGACAGGAGCTGACGTAGTCTTCACTTTCAACTCTCGATAGCGTCCAAATTGTAACTGCGTCCTTGTAGGCGTCGAATTATTTTCCACTTAGCAACACCTTTTCCGAAGATGCGACGTCGCAAGCCTCTCGCTGTTTCCATGGAGAGTGTTCAGATGAACTACACTCAACTATCAGATGGGAAAGAGAGTACATATGCGGAGAGACATATACGGACAGGAGCTGACGTAGTCTTCACTTTCAACTCTCGATAGCGTCCAAATTGTCTCTGCGTCCTTGTAGGCGTCGAATTATTTTCCACTTTGCAACACCTTTTCCGAAGATGCGACGTTGCAAGCCTCTCGCTGTCCCCATGGATAGTGTTCAGATGAACTACACTCCTTAGTTCCCCCGGCCTTAACTATCGCAGCTAAGACCCTCTATGTTGTACGACAATGCAACGATTCTTGAGAAGAAGCTGATCAAATGGAACTTCCTCTTTACGAATGGAATGCGAAGGGGATGTGGATGGCTCACCACTGTGTATTTGGCATGGTTGCTATTAGCTTTATATTCATTGTATCTAATATACAATTTTGGCAAAATGATTTTCTAAGCGCACGGTGAGGATCAAACACAACGCAGTTGTAATTTATCTAGCGGGATGAATCGTGTTAACGGTTACACCATGTCGAAACGTTAGCGGTGGGTGCTTGAACTGATGGAACTAAGGAATGTTGCTTGTCAGGATATGATCCATAGAAATAGCGGGCACTATGACTTTACGTCTGTGGGAAAGGAGTGGCAAGGTGGGAAATCAGGAAACTCTCACAAGCATGCGTAGACGCTTTTGAACTCTGTCAAAACTGGAATGCAATAGTCAGTTGAATTGATAAGACGTGGTATTTGCTACCTGATATATAATGATACTTTTAATCAAAAACAAATTCAACTGTTGCTCTTTTCAGCTTAATATTCGCAGCGAATTTCAAAACAATGAATCTATCGCCATAAAATAATTGAGATAGGAAAAAATGGCCTTAGCGTACGGCGACCGGAAGTTAACATATCCGTGACACAGTTCTGAACGAAACATTATATAATAGCGTAATGTCATTGCTCTAAAGGCAAATAAGAATACAAGATAAGGTCTTTCAATCGTAGCATTATCGTTTATTCACCTGCAGAATAGATGTGTGGCTGTCGGTGTTTTTTGTTTTTTTTCCGAAAGTGGGTCTTTTTCCCGCGAGGATGTAACAGAACATTTTTTTTTTTTTACCTTTTATCTCGTATCAACATTTGCTTTTTTTCTACCTACATATATCAGGTCATCTCATAAGTTCTGTCCGAGTTTTAACTTTTTGTTAAAATGAACGAAATTTAAAGAGTATTTTATAATGTCTAATGGAGCTGGACATTATTTTTATGTTTAGATGCATTTAAACTGATCAAATTTTATTTCAGGGAACAATAAAATTAAATTTTGTTTGATTAAAATCCTGCTAACATGGAAGTACCCAAGAATCATTTGAGGCACATAATGCTTTATGAGTTCAAGAAAGGAAACTCAGCAGCCGAAGCGGCTAGAAACATTCACTCAGTTTATGGAGAGAAATGTGTGAATGAAAGAACTTGCAGAAGATGGTTTGCAAAATTCAGAGGTGGAGATTTCACTCTTGAAGATGAAGATCGAACCGGAGATAATGGTAAACGAGGTGCCAGATCAGGGCCAACCAAATTAATGGCAATAATGCAAGTTACCTGATGAAAATTGTGATAATGTAGGGTGACGAGTATCATAGATTCGGTGGGGAGTATGAGACCCTTGCACCGGTCCTGATTAGACTCAGTCTGATTTTGAACTCGGTACCCCAGTGCCATTTTCTGCGCCGATACCCACATATCCACTATTTCCACTGAATGACACTAAACTTAGACATTTTCTATAGAACTTATACTCGACTCAAACAGTTGACATAGAAAATAATTAAAGTCTCTTAAACCGTTTCAAGATAGCCCGCTATAAAAAATGTCTGACCTGCTTTTGTGTACTTCACTTCGTGTAGTATACTGAAGAACTTTTTGGTGTCTTTCCTTCTGAAAAAGGTCACCTCATGTTTCTTATGTTCCAAGAACGAGTTTTTCTCGATTCAATTCCTTGGAATTGACTCATTTCTATTCGGATGGTTAAAGATAAAATATACCAGGAATTGTTGATTGCCATCTTTCGAAAATGAAGCTCTTATTATTGGTAACCTTTTTGGCATTATGATTAATTTTATTTTTATCTTACAGGTGCTCTTTTATTGACTTGTGAAAACAATTCCTTGCATTTATTTCTAAACTTTTTTTTTAACTTTCCAATTTAATTCGTCTTTTCTGGAATATTATGATTGTTTTTCTTTAAAATTTTATACGTTCTTTATAAGGTCTTTCTTTTCTTTTTTTTCTCCACTACTGTTTTTCTTTTATTCTTTCTTTCAAATTTTCTTTTTCTTGCTTTTCTTGCAGTTCTGTTATTTCTTTCTTTCTTCCTTCCTTTCTTTCGTTCTTTCTTCCTTTTTGTCTTTCTTTCTTTCTTCACAATTCACTTTTCTTTCTTTCCTTACAGTGCAATTTTCTTTCTTTCTTTTTATTCTAGTTCACTTTTCTTTCTTTCCTTACAGCTCTTTCTTTCTTTCTTTCTTTCTTTCTTTCTTTCTTTCTTTCTTTCTTTCTTTCTTTCCTTCCTTCTTTCTTTCTTCCTTTCTTTCCAATTCACTTTTACAGTTCTTTCTTTCTTTCTTTCTTTTTCTAGTTCACTTTTCTTTCTTTATTTCTTTTTCTAGTTCACTTTTCTTTCTTTCCTTACAGCTCTTTCTTTCTTTCTTTCTTTGTTTCTTTCTTTTGTTTCTTTCTTTGCAGTTCACTTATCTTTGTTTCCCTACAGTGCTATTTTCTTTCTTTCTTTCTTTCTTTCTTTCTTTCTTTCTTTCTTTCTTTCTTTCTTTCTTTCTTTCTTTCTTTCCAATTCACTTTTACAGTTCTTTCTTTCTTTTTCTAGTTCACTCTTCTTTCTTTATTTCTTTTTCTAGTTCACTTTTCTTACTTTCCTCACAGCTCTTTCTTTGTTTCTTTCTTTGTTTCTTTCTTTCTTTCCAATTCTCTCTTTCTTTCTTTCTTTCTTTCTTTTTTTCTAGTTCACTTTTCTTTCTTTCCTTACAGCTCTTTCTTTCTTTCTTTCTTTCTTTCTTTCTTTCTTTCTTTCTTTCTTTCTTTCTTTGCAGTTCACTTATCTTTGTTTCCCTACAGTGCTATTTTCTTTCTTTCTTTCTTTTCTTTTCTTTCTTTCTTTTTCTTTCTTTTCTTTCTTTCCAATTCACTTTTACAGTTCTTTTCTTTCTTTCTTTCTTTTTTTTCTAGTTCATTTTTTCTTTCTTTTATTTCTTTTTCTAGTTCACTTTTCTTACTTTCCTCACAGCTCTTTCTTTCTTTCTTTCTTTGTTTCTTTCTTTCTTTCCAATTCTCTCTTTCTTTCTTTCTTTCTTTTTTTCTAGTTCACTTTTCTTTCTTTCCTTACAGCTCTTTCTTTCTTTCTTTCTTTCTTTCTTTCTTTCTTTCTAGTTCACTTTTTTTTCTTTCCTTACAGCTTTTTCTTTCTTTCTTTTTTTCTAGTTCACTTTTCTTTCTTTCCTTACATCTTGTTTCTTTTCTTTCTTTCTTTTTTTTCTTTCTTTCTTTCTTTCTTTCTTTCTTTCTTTCTTTCTAGTTCACTTTTCTTTCTTTCCTTACAGCTCTTTCTTTCTTTCTTTCTTTTTTTCTAGTTCACTTTTCTTTCTTTCCTTACATCTCTTTCTTTCTTTCTTTCTTTCTTTCTTTCTTTCTTTCTTTCTTTCTATCTTTCTTTCTTTCTTTGCAGTTCACTTATCTTTGTTTCCCTACAGTGCTATTTTCTTTCTTTCTTTCTTTCTTTCTTTCTTTCTTTCTTTCTTTCCAATTCACTTTTACAGTTCTTTTTTTTTTCTTTTTGTTCTTTCTAGTTCACTTTTCTTTTCTTTTTCTTTTTTTTTTTTAGTTCACTTTTCTTACTTTCCTCACAGCTCTTTTCTTTTTTTTTTCTTTTTTTGTTTTTCTTTTTTCTTTCCAATTCTCTCTTTTTTTCTTTCTTTTCTTTTTTCTAGTTCACTTTTTTCTTTCTTTCCTTATAGCTCTTTTTTTTCTTTCTTTCTTTCTTTCTTTTTACTTTCATTCTTTTTCTTTCTTTCTAGTTCACTTTTTACTTTTCTTTCCTTTACAGCTCTTTTCTTTCTTTCTTTTCTTTTTTCTAGTTCACTTTTCTTTTCTTTCCTTACAGCTTTCTTTCTTTCTTTCTTTCTTTCTTTCTTTCTTTCTTTCTTTTCTTTTCTTTCTTTCTTTGCAGTTCACTTATCTTTGTTTCCCTACAGTGCTATTTTCTTTTTTTCTTTCTTTCTTTCTTTCTTTCTTTCTTTCTTTCTTTCTTTCTTTGTATTTCCCTTTTTCTTTCACTCTCTTCCACTCTAAATATTTTTTTATCTTTCTTTTTTTTTCTAATTTCTGTCTGAATTTCTGTGATGTGAATTTGTCATTATTTCCTTATTAAACTCATCTTTGCGGGACAATATTCTTTTTCCTACACTCCTTCTTACTTCATTCTCTTTCTCTCTTTCCAATGTCCTTTTTTCTTTCTTTCCTTCCATTTCTTTCTTTCTATCTTTCTTTCAAATACTGTTTTATTTTCACTTTCTAGTATTGTCTTTTTTCCTTCGAATTCTTTCACATTTCGTTTCCAAGTCTGTTTTACTTTCGTTCTTTCTTTGTATTTCTTCCTTTCTGTAGTTCTTTCTTTCATTCGTTCTTTCTTTCTAATTCTGTTCAGTTTTCCTCCCTTTTCTTTTTAATTTTATTCAATTGTTCTTCGTCCGTTATTTTACATTTTATTTCTCTTCTGACAAAATAATTTTATCGAGAGCTAAGTAATGCTTCTTACCAATAATTTACAGCTCGTATCATAATCCAATTCGTAATCTTCAAGTAAGGATCTTGTGGATATTTTCAAGTCATTTTTACACCTCAGCTTTCTTTCTCGTTTAATTTTATTTTATTTCTTTTTGTGTTGCCGTTTTCGCAAAGCAAACATCAGCATTGGAATGTCTTTGAAGGTGTTCGTAACGTCAGCATCTTGACACACAACGCCATTAAATTTTTCGCGCGCTAAACGTAAACCGACTTCATATTAATTGCTTTAATAAAGCCTAATTTAACGTTTGATGTCGCCCAATGCGTGAATGTTACCAAGTGAGTTGTGGGGACCTTGTGACTTGCGAGGAGAATAACTAATATTTCAAATGTCAAATTAGGATTTTAAGGCGAAAAAAAGCAAAATTCAAAAAGTTAAAAAACGAAAGAAAAAAAAAATAATAAGGAAACATTTAGAATCGAAATTAAAAATGGCTGCCAATGAAGAACTGATTTTTTTTTGTGGTTGCTTTCATTTTATGATTTTTGGTCGTTGTTGATTTTTAAGTTTATGGGGGTATTTTTGTGGTGAGACCCTTGCGTATAGGGTAGTTATTTTTTAGATGGCCATCTGTTGGTAGGGGTGCGTGCAGAAGGGTAGAAAAGTGTCAGCATATTTCATCTTTAAGGCAGAATCAATGTTATAAAAAGAAAAGTACTTTAGAAAGGAGAGAACTAGAAGGAGAATCATCGGACTCGAAAGATAGAGAAAGAATGAAATAACCAAAGAAACATAGAAGTGTAAAGACGAAAAGAACGAACAAAATAAAAAATAAATGGTAAAAAAAAACCAGACTGAAGACAATTGACAAAGAAAATGAACGAAACGCGCAGTGAAAAAACACAAAATTCACAGAAAATATAAAATGCTTAGCAAAGAATGAATGAGCATCGTGTGTGCAGGAAACAACATTTGTGCACGAAATGCATAGCAAAGAACGAAGTATCCCAAAATGCATTGCAAAGAATGAAAGAGCAGGAAATCCGAGGCTAAATAGCACGAAATGTGTAGGAAAGAACGAAAGAGCAGGAAATGTGTTGTAAAACGAAGACCATGAAATGTGTAGTTAAACAACTGACATACTTAGCATAGAGAGAAAGAGCGCAAACTGTTTAGACACGAAATGCATAGCAAAGAACGGAAAAACCCGAAATGCGAATCGAAGAACGAAAGAGCACAAAATCCTTAGCAAAGAGCGAAAGAGCACAAAATGCGTAGCTAAGCACCAGAAATTTATCAGCAAAGAACGAAAGAGCACAAAATCCTTAGCAAAGAAAGAGCACAAAATGCTTAACAAAGAGCGAAAGAGCACAAAATGTGTAGCTAAGCACCTGAAATTTATCAGCAGAGAACGAAAGAGCCCAAAATCCTTAGCAAAGAAAGAGCACAAAATGTTTAACAAAGAGCGAAAGAGCACAAAATTCGTTGCTAAGCACCAGAAATTTATCAGCAAAGAACGAAAGAGCACAAAATCCTTAGCAAAGAAAGAGCACAAAATGTTTAACAAAGAGCGAAAGAGCACAAAATTCGTTGCTAAACACCAGAAATTCTCAGCAAAGAATGAAAGAGCACAAAATGGGTAGCAAAGATGGAAAAAGGACAAAATACATAGCAAAGAACGAAAGAGCAAAAATTGTTGTTAAACACCAGAAATTTTCAGCAAAAATGAAAGAGTACAAAATGGGTAGCAAATTGGAAAAAGAATATATAGCAATTTGTGTAAGAGACAAAAATGGAATAGCCTGATATGAGCAAAAAATCTGAATACGTTTCCACATCGAAAGAAAAAGAATGAGAAACTATGAACGAAAAATTTTGAATGGAAAGAACAAATGACCGAAAATGCATCTGAAAAGAAAAAAACATCGAAAGATATATAAATGAGAAACGAAAGAGAAAAAATGCATTCCAAAGAACCAATAAGGAAAAAAAATGTAGCAAAGAATGAAAAATAGAAAGAAATGCGTATAAGAACGAAAGAGAAACGAAAATGTAAAAAAAAAAAACCAATAAGGAAGAAATGCGTAGCAAAGAACGAAAGAGAAGGAACTGCATAGCAAAAAAAAAAAAAAATAAATAAATAAAAAAAGATATAAATGATTGCAAAGAACGAAAGAGAAATGATTAGCAAAGAACGAAAAAGAAGAAATGCATAGCAAAGTACGAAAGAGGAAGAAATGATTGCAAAGAACGAAAGAGAAATGATTAGCAAAGAACGAAAAAGAAGAAATGCATAGCAAAGTACGAAAGAGGAAGAAATACATAGCAAAGAACGAGAGAGAACGAAATGCATAGCAAAGAACGAAAGAGAAAGAAATGATTGCAAAGAACGAAAGAGAAATGATTAGTAAGGAACGAAAAAGAAGAAATGCATAGTAAAGAACGAAACAGGAAGAAATACATAGCAAAGTACGAAAGAGGAAGAAATGCATAGCAAAGAACGAAAGAGGAGGAAATGATTAGCAAAGAACGAAAGAGAAAGAAATGATTAACAAAGAACAAAAGAGGAAGAAATGCATAGCAAAGAACGAAAGAGAAAGAAATGATTTATTCAATTATTTATTCTCTATTATTTACAAAGACAAGTAACCATTTATCAGGTAGAATTTCGATATCTTTTGTAAGACATATTTTGTATTTCCCAGCCAACTTTATTCCCCCAAAATTTAAAAGCAATTTCAATCGTTATAGATGAGAGGAAATAAATATCGCTCTTCGTTAAGGTACCTAGACGTTAAGAATTTAAGCACAGCCCTAGATTGGTGCCAACGTCTCCTCATTTTACAATTAAAATGGCTAGAATTAACCGGAAGTTCTATGCTAACAGTTTCTTTTCTCATACTTCTTGCTTGTGGAACTCTCTTCTGGTTCTAGGCTTTCCAGGAAATATAATTTCCTCGTCCGTTTTTTATAAATAATTTCATGGTAATTGTTTTCATGAACTTTGCTCTAAGGTACATAGACTTGATGAATTTAATCACGGTACTAGATTGGCGGTAAGGTCTTCTCGTTTTGCAGCTGAATTGGCTAGATGTTACCGTAAGTTCTATGCTAACAGTTTCTTTTCTATTTTATCACTTCTTGCCTGTGGAGCTCACTTCCAGCTCCATGATTTGCAGCCAACTTTGATCTTTAAAAAATTAAATGCAATGTCAATCACTATCTACTGTTCTCCTTATTACTTTTGTTTTATTCTCCGTCCTTCACGTGTTGAAATCTATCCCTTCTGAAAATTATTGCGATTAAGAAATAAATATAAAGTAGACAAAAGTCAACACCTGGTAGGGAAATTCTGTTTCATGCCTGAATGCAATCTTCAGATGGACTAAAGATTTCATAATTGTCAGCTGGATAATTCAACAAGCTCTCATCATTTTACAGTTGAAATGGCTAGATGTAACCGTAAGTTCTATGCTAAAATTTTCTTCTATCGCAGATCTCATTAATGGAACTCTCTTCTGGCTTCTCCCTTTCCACTCATCCGCAAAAAAAATTTATGCAATATCAATCGTTATCTCCTTATATATATATATATATATATATATATATATATATATATATATATATATATATATAAATTATAATCAATATATTTTTAGAGGAGAGAGAAAAGGTAACTAAGTAAGTGTAGGATTAAAATTATTTTTTTTTTTTTAATTTTTTTATGTTTTTAATTTTTTATATATGTGGAAATATATGAAATATTCTAATAGCTAAATATATAAGTTCTGACTGTTATCTCTCTCTCTCTCTCTCTCTATCTTTCTATCTATCTGTCTGCATATATACACACACACACACACACACACACACACACACACACACATATATATATATATATATATATGTATGTATAACTAAGTAATTCATCGAGTCTAGAAGAAACCTCAGCAGAATGTAGAAAGCACTGAACGGCCATTTATGTCCTATACTTGGGACTCATCAGCAGTGCGCATCCACTACCGAGAATTGAAACCCGGAGAGTTGCGTTAGAAACAAACGCCATACCAACTGTGACGAAGAGATAACGAATTAGACTCGATATAGCGCTGCTCGATTTGAAATTCCGTAGTGGAACTCCTCCGAGTTTCCCCTTTACCCATAGAACTGTATATATATATATATATATATATATATATATATATATATATATATATATATAATTATTTATTCAAAAATATGATTCCAAATAGCGACATAAGAAGTCTCATGTTTCAAAACAAGAGCCTAAAACTTCAAAATAATTATTTAAACGGCTCTGTTCCATCTTCATTGAAATTTTTTAGGAAAATACTAAAGAACTTTGGATTATTTACCCAACCAGTTCCTTCCTATTTTTCTATATATTTTTTGTAATATATATATATATATATATATATATATATATATATATATATATATGTTTGTGTACGCATGCGCGAGTGTGAGTAGCAGACTTAGATAAGAGATTTTATTGTTTAACGAACAACAAACAAACAAAACGAAGAGGCGTATATATATGTTT